AACCTCCAGAAATATAATACAAAGAAAGAAGGTATAGGTTATGTTAACAGCTGGGTGATTCGATTTATATACAACAATAATAATGTATTTTCATTATATTACTATAAAGTACTTGTCCAAGACAAATCATCATTTCAATTGTTCATGGACCCGTTCTTAAAAAGTACGTGGTCTTAAGTACATGTTAGTTCTTATGAAATACATGAAAAATAATTTAAAGGCTTAAAAAAGGATTATAATTGAAAGAAAAAAATTTAAGTATAAATAAGAACTTTGAAAGTAGCAAAAATTATCTGTCAGGACTCATACAAGACCTATTTTTGACTCGGGAATTCATAAACTTTTCTTTTTCTTTACACCGCGTCACTTCATTTGTCTACCGATATTTTTTATTCGATAACAGGGCATATCTACAGTGCTCTTCACTTGTAGATAATTATCAATTTATTGAGTTGTGATGATTAGTGTAGAGCAATTCACTGTTAGTGAGCAGATGTTTCGTGTGATCGACGACAAAACGTCGGGAGCAGATGACTTAGAGCAGATTCCTTAATTTAATTAATCGATTTATTTTATGTATGACAACATCATATTTTCTCCTAATCTGCTAATAATTTTGCAAGTATAATATATAATGAGTAGGGTTCGGATAATTATTCATTTGCATAACTGCATATTCTAATGCATATTTAACCCATTATTTGGTTAAAGTGCATAAAAACTTGTTTGCAAAGATAATTTATACGCTTACTAAGGTCAAATACTTACTCAACCCCCTACGGGTTGCGTTCCGTTTACACGAATGTGAATTTCTTAATATCGTCGACCAAGAAAGTGTTTTTAAAAGCACCTCGCCTTGTTAAGTTCAAAGTAATTGCCGGTAGTGAGATTCCACTTCCGCCATCCCCAATTGTTACAAGATGGGACACCTGGAATGAAGCTGCAACCTATTACGCTCAACATTTTGAACTTATTGCCCGTATTATTAACGATTTCGATCCTAAGGAATCGCAGTGCGTTGAGGAAGCACAAAATGCATTAAGAGGGAGAAGATTGCCCGAATATTTAATTTTCATTAAATTAAATTTTAGTTGTATTTCTGACGCTATTTTGAAATTGGAAACTAAAGGGCTCTGTTTAGAAAATAGTAAACAGATTGTCGAAAATGTTTTTGATAAATTAAATAAATAATAAAATAGCAGTTTTGCTAATAAACTGCGTCAGTATTGCAAAAAAATACGGGATATCAAAATTTAAAAAACATTTGCAAGGGTTAGAAGAGGAAGAAACTGATGCTGTTGCTCCCAATAATTTGAATATTACGGACGTAGTTGATTTATCATTTGTTCGTATAGCTTCCTGTGACGTGAAAGATGTTTTTCAGAAATTAAAAATATTTTATCGGATAATCGCCGTAAATTTATATTTGAAAATTTATTATATCATAGGTATTGTAATAAAATGTAACAGCAAAAATATGTAAAATTATAAATAGACAAATATTACCCTTAAAATTTGTTTTATTTCAATCTAAAAAACGACATTTGAAAGCATATTTAAATGCATATATTTAATATTTTAAATGCATATTTGCATGCATATTTTGTACTTTTTTAATGCACAATTATCCGAAGCCTGGTAATAACTAAATTTTCTTACCTTAAATCGACGATTACCTGTTGGCGATTTTGCATACGGTATACCAAGAAACGCAAAGTTATTCCCACCTTTACTATCAGTAACAACTTTCCCTTTTAAACTGCCCCATTTGGTTTCTACAATAGTTTCAGACATTTTTCTTCTTAGAGGATACAACAAGCAAATGTCGAACTCTTTCGTTGAAAGTGTCAGATAATATTGAATTACGAAAAAACAAAAAACCTTTCTTGATAACCTATGTTGATTATTATATTATTTCGATAATTGTTGTATTAAATACAATTCTCAAGTTTAAGTTGTCAATTAAATTATTCTTTAGTACTAGAAACTTCAAATTATTAGTAAGTAATATTCAATATTACTATGCACAGAAACAAAAGATATTCGTCTCGGTCTGCCAGCACACTTTACAAACCGCACAAGTAAATGTAAAAAATGTTTGTATCTATATATATATAAAAGAAAGTCGTTTTAGTTACACTATTTATAACTCAAGAACGGCTGAACCAATTTGTCTGAAAATTGGTTGGGTGGTAGCTTACAACCAGGAGACGAACATAGGATACTTTCTATCCCGTTCCCGCGGAGCGGAGGAGTGGTGAAGAGGAGTTGCAATGTTTAAATGGAATATATATTTGTCGTCAGATTTACTTGAAACTTGGTCTTAGTTGCCTCTCAATTAATTTCTGAAAGACCTATCTCGACATTTTAAAAAATTCAACCTCCAAAGGGGGGGGGGGGTAAAAAGGTGTTGCAATTTTTGTTTGGGACATACTTTACTTGTGGTTGAATTTACTCGAAACTTGGTATATATGCTGTTTGATATTATTAATCAAATGAAAAGAGGTTGCAACGTTTCCATGGGGTATTTTTTATTTGTACTCTGATTTACTCGAAGGTTGCTCAATGTTGAAATTAAGCAAATACGTGTTTTGGCAATTTTTAAAAATCAACCCTTAAGGATGAAATGTTGTTGCTACGTATAGTATAAACTTAATTATAATAAAAATCTACAAGAATTTTTGTGATAATTTTCATGAAAACGGTCCATTTTCGTACTTAAAACGATTTTGACGGGTTTNTTAGTTACACTATTTATAACTCAAGAACGGCTGAACCGATTTGGCTGAAAATTGGTGGGGAGGTAGCTTAGAACCAGGAGACGGACATAGGATACTTTTTATCCCGTTTAAGTGGAAAAAAACGTGGTATAAAAAAATGGAATGACAAAACGCAACTGATAGCAAAACGAAAAATTTATCAGTCATAACATCAGTCTAGCCGCTCATTTGATAAAAATGATATAACAAATCGCAACTGATAGGTAAACGTAATGTTATCTATGATTAAGTATGGTGTTTTATTTATAATCAGATTTACCTGAAACTTGGCTTTAATGGTTTTTTCATATAAAATTTATGACATACATACCTATTTCAACATTTTACAAAATTCTACCTCTTTAGGAAGCTGAAAGGGGTTTGCAAAGATTGCACGTTTGTTTTTGGTCCGATTTACTTGAAACTGGTTAAGAAATTCAATCTCTGTTGGGTGGAATTAGTGGTGAATAGGAGTTGCAATGTTTAAATGGAACATATATTATTTGTGGTCAGATTTACTTGAAACTTGATCTTAAAGGTCTCTCATTTAATTTCTGTTTGTGACATACTTTATTTGTGGTTGGTTGAATTTGCTTGAAACTTAGTATATATAATGTTGTTTGATATTATTAATCAAATGAAAAGACGTTGCAACGTTTCCATGGGGTATATTTTATTTGTACTCGGATTTACTCGAAAGTTGCTCATTGTTGAAATTAAACAAATACGTGTTTTGGCAATTCTTAAAAATCAACCCTAAAGGATGAAATGTTGTTGCTACGTTTGTATTTGAAATATAAGATGGCGACATTACATAAAATTAAAACGTTGTAAGGGTGAATTGGGAGTTAAAAGGTTTTATGGAGAAACAATATTAATTTCTGCAGGAGAAACCGCCGGGAAAAGCTAGTATTATAATAAAACTGTGAATACTTCCTGACAATACATTTATTTTTGATGGCAATTGTATAAATATCTACTAAAATTATAAAAGAATGAAATTAATCCTTACAATTTACGTATATGTGTATAAACCTACTTTTATTTATCAGTAGATGATTTACTTATCGTCGCTAATGTTTAATAGTGTTTAGCGTGATCATAACCCTTGAAGATTTTATTCCAGAATTCCATTCTCGATTGATCAGGATCTACACCTACTGTCAGATTTTCTCCGATGTCCAGGAAATGTAATGTGTCTTGATCGATAGGTTTCCATTCAATTTTGATAAGGTTATCCTTTGGACCAACGTTTGGGTTACTATGTTTTGAAAAATTCGCCCAAAGGCGCAAAACGCTTCTTTGAATTATATCTTCGTGACTATCGGGCACTATATACGGAGTCCATTCGGAATGGAAAATGTATCCTAAATCGTCTGCGTGACAAGTACCTACAAAAATCATTACTTATCGTATTTATTTCAGGTCAATTGTTCGGATACGTACCGGATTCCTTTAGTTTCATTAATCTGTTTTTAAGAAAATTTAGACCAGCATCGATGGAAAACCTATAAAGGTATACCGGATGCCCACTGGATTTTACGTGATGCTTAGCTGCAGATTGAATCCCTCTAATAAAGAATGTATCAGAAGTTAACTACAAAAAAACAGATTCAAATTACGTCAAGGCAGACATGTTTAATTTGCCCAAATCCTAACCAGTATCCCCTTGTCTATATTTTCGCTGGAAGGTTCTTCTTTGCCGAAGTAAAAATTTTTAATTGATTCAGCAATTTTTTTCGATTCTGGACTTCCCTTTTTAAAGTTTAAGAAATGTGGAACCTCTTGTTCTGTATCTTCTATAATTGGACTTTTGTTTGCCATTGTACTGAAAGCATACATTAGCAACCCCTCTCTACTTGTGTAGCCCATGAGAATAGGAATTTTATGAAATTTGCCAGACTTAAGAATTTCTATCGGATCTTCCGTAATGAATGCATTTGGGCTTGGTTTTTCTATTACTGGTACCCATGGCCTTTTTCGACCCGATTCGAAGTGCTGCAATGCAATAATTATGAAGCAAAATAACAAAAGAGGTGAAGTAACGCTCTTAATATTTATCAGTGAACTTTCGTTTTGTTTGTAACATGTATAATATATTTGTTTATCTGGGTTTTTGATAAGATTGTAACAATTAAATATATATCGTTAACTAACAATAAGCAAGTAAAGTACGATAGGTACTTGTTGAAATGATAAGAACTGCTTATAGGTTTGAAATAGTCAATTAATTCGCGCTTCGTATTGTTTACGAAATTGTATTTCATTTTCTTACATCAGGAACTGCAATTTGCAATTCATGAAGTTCGTCGGCGTTTTTTTTCATAAGTTCTTCGTAAACTTTTTTTTCACTAGCTCCAGGAATTTTTAGAATTTCCGCAAGTTCGTCAGACAAATGTCTTCCTTGAGCCCAAGGGTTAATAGCAACACCACTTTGTAGTATTGCCTTATGGAAAAATCCTGAAATAATATTTCATTTTCGATTTGTGATCGATTAATTATTATAAACTATAGAAAACCTTTTGTTGTTGGCGATAATATTTGATAATGTACAGAAGCTGCTCCAGCACTTTCTCCGAAAATTGTAATGTTATTTTCGTCACCACCAAATGCTGAAATATTTTCTTTTACCCATTTCAGAGCCAGAGCTTGATCTTTCAAACCAGCATTGCCTGAGATGTCTAATGATGGATCATCGAAAGATAAAAAACCTAAAACATGCATTGAAATAATAATTATTAGAAAGACATTTATTATTTATTTGTATTCATACCAAATATACCCAGGCGATAATTTATAGAAACGAAAACTACGTTTTCAGTGAGAATAAAAAAGGGACCATAAGTGTCAGCGGTGCTAGATCCGGTATGGAATCCTCCACCATGGATCCACACCATCACAGCAAGGGGAGGCTTTTCTGGGGTTAAGGAAGGTAGCTAGAAACAGGTGGATGAATTAAAATTAATGTTTTTTTAATGAAAATTCTTTTATATTCTATACCTGCGGTGTGTAAACGTTGAGATAGAGACAATCTTCGTCTCCCTGCAAGTGAAATTTTTCAGAATGTTTCGATTTGCAAGGATTTCCTTCTTCAAGAGCATCTCGAACACCAGACCAACTATCTGCAGGTTGCGGGGCCTAAAAATTTATAAACAGATTAGATCATCTTTGTTGTTTCAATATTTTAGTTTATACATTCATGTGAACACATCCATAAATAAATACGTTGAAGTTAGTTTTATATTACTGATTAAATAGATAAATAAGTTGTTACAAGGTTTTTAGTAAAAAAAAAAGTGAAGCAATCAAAATTGGTGACAATAGAAACTCTTAAGTACATTTGTATTTTTGTATACTTATTAATCGTATTTAATATAAAATACGCTTCAGTTTTTTTTTTACAAACAACTAGTGATTAATGACTTGATTATCAAGGTCGACAAATGAACTGCATTTATTTACATTAAAAACAAAGGCCATCAAGTAAATGAAATGTGTATTTTATAAAACCATAATCATTGTTTCACAAAATTAACTTTATATATGTTAAATTAAGTATGTAATTACGTTATATTTGCAAGTTAAATACTGTAGTTGTTACAAACTGTGGTCAATAAAATAGTAATTGAAAGATGGCTATGAAATAAATAAAAATAGTTGTTAGATAGTTCAATTTTAAACTTACCTTAAATCGAAGAGCTCCCACAGGAGGTTTCCCGTACGGAATTCCTAAAAATGCGTAGTGTTTCTCTCCTCTGACATCTTCCACTACTTTACCCCGTAGCAACCCCTGTTTAGCTTTTACAATAACTTCAGACATTCTTTAATTAATTAAAAAAGAATAGAAACTAAAAGTACGAGTAAGACGTCTGCTTGCTAATATTCGCGATCGACTACTGCAACGATGCGATGTTTTAATGTTTTTCTGTATGTACTCAATTTCATTCAAGTTATAGAGATACAGTTATAATTATAGTGGTGGTTGCTGCTGAATTTTCATCGCACAATTCTCGTTGCTCTCTTTTGTTATGATCAAAACAGCCTTGAAATTTGCGTGTACAGTATTCAAATAAATAATAATTAATGTAATCGGAAGGTATTAAACATGTACTGTTTACTTCTTGTCTCGATTCCTCTGTATTAGATATCGTTCTATTTACATTAAATGACATTTTTATTTAACTAAAATTTTATAAATTAGCTATGCGTGTCAGTTTTGCCAGTCGTGGGGTATATAGTGATTTTCACGTAAGCAGTCACCTTAAATTACGTAATGCTAACGGGGAAAGGGGAGATATGGTCAAATGGTCATGTTGCGAAGAGGGTGGGAGGGGACCTTCGTTTGCGTTACGTTACGATTTGAGAATGTATTAAAAAATGAATTGAATACATTAAATTGAATTAATTTTTACCGATAACCTGAAGTTAATGAGGAAAAATTGTTGCTACTGTGTCACTTCCTCGCCGGGAACCGAACTCGGACCCCTGACTTTACGCACCATCGCTCTACCACTAAGCTACAAGAGGTGATAATAGAGATAACTTTGTAGGTCACACAGAATCGTCGAACCAATGTATAATCATTATCGTCATCTCTCATATGGCTTACGGTTACTGGTATAGTAGTAATGGTGCTTAAAGCCAGGGATCCGAGGTCGATTCCCGGCAAGAGCGTGACAGCGGCAACAATTTTTTTTCATTAATTTATTAANGCATTTATTTACATTAAAAACAAAGGCCATCAAGTAAATGAAATGTGTATTTTATAAAACCATAATCATTGTTTCACAAAATTAACTTTATATATGTTAAATTAAGTATGTAATTACGTTATATTTGCAAGTTAAATACTGTAGTTGTTACAAACTGTGGTCAATAAAATAGTAATTGAAAGATGGCTATGAAATAAATAAAAATAGTTGTTTATTTATAGTTTTATGCTTTACTTATGTTCTTCTTCACTGTATAGTATTTAGTAATTAATATTCTATACAATTTGCAGTTATAATCTCGATTCCGCTAAACGGAATTGAAGCGCTTCCGTGCTATTAGCAAGTTTGGATGGATGATATAGGAGGGTATTGTGCCGAAGGGTAGTAATGAATGTCCCTCACTAAATATTTTTCGAGCTAGAGCCAACTATGCATTACTTTTGGTATAATCCTCGTAAAATAGTTTTGAATTTGATAAAGATGACAACCTTTAGATTTTTGTGATAACAGTAAATAGTGAACAGATGCGGATCCAGCACTGTGACCAAAAATCGTTACATTGTTTGGATCTCCACCAAAACAAGATATGTTCTCTTGAATCCAGGTTAGGGCCATCAGCTGGTCTTTGAGTCCTACATTTCCAGGAACTTTTAACGACTGGTCTTTTAAAGACAAGAAGCCTTTAAACAGAATATTATGTTTCCAGTAAAGAGCAATGATCCAGGCAAATTACACTGTTGGGTAGAAAAGTTTGGAATAGACCTGATTTTTGCATGTAAATTAGTAAATTACATTTATTACATATTCTCTGTGAAAACAGATCATAACGGATCAATAAATAACATTTGGCAGCACTATGAATGTTATAATTTTTTTTTATTGATAAATTATTTGTTGCTCACCTATTTATTAGGTCGGGATAAAATATTAGCAGGATTAACAACTATAAAGAAGGCTTTTTTTCCAAAAATTTCAATGCAATAGTAGTCCGATGTCTATCCTAAAAGTGGGCATGACATAAATCGCTTTTTGAAAAGTCTTACCTTACAAGGATCCTTATCGAAAAAGTGATTCGAAACAATTCTCTCCTTTAATTTTTTTCAAATCAAACCACCTTAAACAAGGTTCCTCACACTTTTGAGCGTACGCACAGGTTTAGTAATGATGTACGTAACTTTTTACTAATTTACATGCAAAAATCAGGTCAATTCCAAACTTTTCTAAAAAATGGCAATTTTTCAGCTAATTTTGCTGGATTTTAAATATTTAATTCAAAAATATATAAATCGCAGGTAGGAGATAAGTCCCCTTTAATAAAAAAAAGCTAAATGTAAATAAATAATTAAATGCATATTATATTAACATCGATATTCGGGTTTAGTTTATATTTCGAACTCCCAATTCGCAAACTGCTAATTTTGACTATTATCAAGTGAACGCAGTTATTATAAAAGGAGTTGTTATCACGTTTACAATTTTCTCGATAATTTTTAAATGCACTACAAATAAATGTACTCAACAAAATTTTCTGTGATTTTAGCAGGAAGGAGTTTAAAACTGCTTATTTAATTATTTTATTTTCATTGTTTTTTTGAGTTATGCATCCAGACTCCACGGCAATCCAGAAGTTTAATGTAAATTAAAATAATAGTAAATTTTCCATTTTTTAAATTAGCACCTTCCAAACAGTCCCTTGAATACCATAACCCCATATATGATTAGTTAATTGTATTTTTTTATATACTGAGAAGTTCCTATTGCGACTTTTATTAGGAACCTCTTAAATTTAAAAATAATTTTTTTTAAAGACTGTAATAGCTTAGATAATATTCAATTGTTGAAGTATTAGCTAAGGTGGTGCATTGGTGCAAACTTAAAAAGATTAGGGTTAAAACTCAATTTTGTGGATGGACTTGCGGTCATACGCAGTTAAAACTGATACACGTAGAGTACCAATATATACAGGGTGTACCACCTAGAGCGGTTTACTCAATAATTCCGTTATTATACATTAAAGAAAAATGTTTACATAAAAGTAGCCTGGAATCGTATGGTACATATACAGGAAATATTTTTAGTCTTACAGGATGTTCCATTTCTTCTGGACCCTACCTGACTTCGTTATGTTAAATAGAACAACCTGTATATTTTTACATTTTTGGATTACTACCAGTTTCTTCTACCTATCTCTAGTAGTTTTTGAGATATTCAATTGTGTTCGGAAAAAAAGGTCGTAAGGTCGTCAGTCCTAAGCCTGGTTGGACACCCACCTCCACTCCTTTCTATCCTGAGCTAATCTTCGCATTTCCTTAAAACTAGAACATTCCACATCCTTAACTATTTGCGAACAGTAATCTAATCTAGGTCTACCTCTACTCCTCTTAACACCTGTGTCCTACCAATCTATCTAGCCTACTTTTTTATTGATTTCCATAGGGTCCTCTGTTCTTCTATTCTTTCTAATACCTCTTCACCTATTTCCTTATTATTCACCCGTAACGCCACATTTCGAACGCTTCTAACTTTTTCTTTTCCGCCGCGCCCACCGTCTATTTTTCGCATCCGTAAAAATCTAAATCTAAACCATAAAAGCTACAAATCTGCAGTTGCATTTCCTTTATCGAATGTATAATAACAGAGTTATGAACGAAACCGCCTTAGGTGGTACACCTTATATAAAAACTCTAGGAGAAATCGGAAACTTACCAAACTTACTAAATGGAAAGTGTAGCTATCAACATTAAATGATAATTTTGTAGAAACAATTTTTATTTTGGTCCATTAAAAATTTAATTTTTATCTGTTTAACCTTATGATTAGCAGAATCATTAATGTAGTTACGTATACGATGACGATGAGTAATAAACCGTTGAATAAAAAATTCTTACCAAAGATTCCTAATCTGTAGTTGAATGAAACAAAAACAACTTTTTCAGATAAAATATAATCCGGACCAAATGTCTTATATGAACTTGAGCCCATATGAAATCCTCCACCATGTACAAATACCATCACAGGAAATTGTGTGAATTCCTTTGACTTAGTGGGCAGCTAATGCGTCGAATTTCAATTTATTAATAAGGTAATTAGTAAAAACATTAAAAATGAATTTCTTACTTGAGGTGTGTACACGTTAATAAATAAACAATCTTCACTGCCCTGGACTATGTTCTTTTCGGGATGTCTGGATTTGCAAGCATTTCCTTCTTCTGTAGCATCTCTTATTTCTACCCACGGTTCAGGAGGTTCAGGGACCTTTGTAATTGTAATTTAGAAATTTCAATTTTATTTTCCTTTGTAATTTTCAATAGCATTCACACTTATTAATTATATCGGCATTGTAATAGCTAGGGTTCGGATATTTATGCATTTGCATAACTGCATATTCTAATGCATGTTTAACCCATTATTTGGTTAAAGTGCATATTTTGGTCATTTTAAGTTTTATCTGCATATTTCGTAGTTAAAACTTGTTTGCAAATATAATTTATACGCTTACCAAGGTCAAATACTTACTCAACCCCCTACGGAGTGGTATATTCCGAGAAAGCAATGTAAACGTCTTAACCGATAATTGGTAATTGCTGTCATTAAGTATTTACATCAACATAATAAGAAAGATTACCTATGCAAAAGTTCGCTTTAAATTATCACAACATCAGTTTGTTGTTTGATTTTGAAAAGCGAACATCTCAACGTCAGTGTTAAAAATCAAAAATGCCGAAAGAAAGACGATCTGTTAGCACTGTTTTAAACACGTTGCTAAGTTCAAAGAAATTGCCGGTAGTTGAGATTTCACTTCCGCCATCCCCAATTGTTACAAGATGGAGCACCTCTGACGTGGAAAGATGTTTTTCAGAAATAAAAAGTATTTTATCTGGTAATCGCCGTATTTATATTTGAAAATTTATTATATCATATTGTAGAAAACACCACAAATAGCGAGGTAAACGCCACCTGTAGTACGATGCTACATTTTAGGATTACGTATGCTCCAACAAGGTCCATTTAAATATATGGATATCTACTTGCTGAAACGAATCCCGGCGTAGCTAACCTCAACGTGATAGGCACGTTACCATAATCGAATAAAATAATTCGAA